TATATCATATATTATATATTATAAATTACATTATAAGTTATATTATATATCATATTATGTATTATATTGTATGTTGTTTCATATATATTTATTATATATTATATGATATTATGTTATGTCTTATTCTATTCCATTCTATTACATAGTATATATATACACTATAAATGATATATATATATATATTTATTTACTATATATACAACATATACTACATATACTGTTTATACTATATATATACTATATATATATACACACCATACATAGTATATATATAGTATATATAGGGCATGAAGAAGGAGAGAAACCAGAGATATAGAGTTTTCTTATGAAAATATAGAGAAAATAACGGTTTTCCAAGGAAAATCGAGGGAAAATTGAGGCTTCCCATGGAAATGCGCAGATCCCCCCCNNAAAAAAAAAAAAAAAAAAAGGCCAACAACACTTCTCCACCCCCAGTGCCCAGTCCTGGAGACGAAGGACAACGCTTGACCTTGACCAGTCATGAAGGCCCGGGTTCAGGCCGTGTTTGCCCCATGTACTGCCAAAGGGCGGTAGTAGAGGTAGTAGAGATCTGAGCTAGACCTATCATAGTTTGCAAGCACAAGGGGCACGTGCCACCAGGAAAAATGAGGCTTTGGATCAGATCTGTTGGCATGTCTCAGCTGCTCCGTGTTGACACTTGCTCGGATGATGGTGAGTCAGCTTAGTCAGTTTGCTGCTGCCGGCTCCCCGGCAATTGGCCCAGGTCGCGCACTTCATGCGGCGCCCACGCTGCCTCCACGGAGTCAAAGAGCGAGACCCAAAAGGCAATCAGTGTGGCATGGTTGCCAACTTGTCTCAATTCGAGTTTGCGCAGGGGACTACAACGTTTCCGCATCGCTCCACCTCGCATCTAAGTTGGTTATAGCCATGGAAGCAGAGGTATGGCAGGCACTGCAGAAATCAGTCTCAAGTAAGCCCGCAGATTCGGTATGAAACTGCAGCTGCGACCCCATAGAAACGTGGAGCATAAAGTCCGCGCCTACCGCCTACAGTGTGAAGGCTGGATGGAGCTTTGCTCGGAGCCAAGCTCCATGAGCCCAGAACTCACGGAAGAAGCCAACCAAGTTCGCGCGCTGAGCCGCGTGGTACTCCTCCACGGAATCCAACAGACTACTATAGACTTCCTTCGCCAGCTTTGCTCGCCATGGCGCTCGCTCTGGGTGTGCCGCAGGCTGACTGCATCTACTTGGCGGCTCGCTTTTTGAAGGGTCTTAGTCGGAGGTCTACACCCCGCCTGTTGGCGACCAGCTGATGGCACTGGACCCGACTGCACCACGTGTGAAGGTGCGGGCCGGTGCGGGCTGGGGGCTCTCGGCTGCCGTTTCGACTGGACTGGACTGCTGGCAGGTCCTGGCTCCGGGCTGCGAGCTGCGCCTCATCGTGGATGACGACAAGCACGCCAGGGTGCGCACGTTGCACTTCCGTTTTGCGTGGCAGTCACCTGCCCCCTTTCAGCCAAGGTGAAGCTGCTGCCTGAGCAGGTGCCCAACCCACGGCCTGGTCAGCCGGTCTCGGCCTGGGGTTGTGCTGTCTATGCTGTCCACTGTCCATTCCCAGTGCTGCAAACCACAGAAAAAAGGCCGAGACGAGTGCAGAGATTTTTGGGGCGGAATTGGTGCCTGGACAGGCCGGCTACCAGATCTCTTGAAGTGGTGGAATCTCCTTGTTTGCGACCAAGGACTATCCTTTGTTGGGCGGATCCCGCACAGCCATTTACACATGGCATGGCTGCAAGGTGCAGGTGGGGAAGTGTCAGTCTGCCTGATTGAATGCTCTTTTCTGTTGTCGTTGTTTGTGCAGGTTTCTGGCCCCACTGTACAGGAGTACGACGCCCCAAATGTGGTGATGCGCGACTACTTGTGCTGTGCAGTCGCTCTGCTAATGGGAGCTTGTCCTGATTTTATGCGCAGAGCAAGAGACTTCCACAGCATTTCAATTGCTGCATATTATGAAGTTGCGAGATTGGCCTTGGTCAATGCTAGTTCGCCGTTTTGATTGAGGCAGTGCTCGAGCAGCGCCGCATGCGAGCCGACGATCTCGGGCTTCCTGCCCCTAGAGTTTTAGCCATGCTCCAAGACTGCCACTAACAGCAACCAGAATACGGCATTGCATGCTCTTCTGTTGTTTTTGAACGTGTTGAGACGTTCGCAAGAATCGGAGACCACGCCCAGGTGTGTGGGAGTGCCTTCTCCGGGAAAAGCTCCCTCTGTCAGGCGCAAGTTGAGGTCTTCACGCTCGTGATGTCTTGCGCCGTTGTTCCCCGTTAGATTCTCTGCAACTATGCGTTGAGACGGGTGACGCCGGCCTGTGCGTGGGGAGAGCTTAGACGAGGACTCAAGCCCTTGCGTCAGAAGCCAGGAGCACACTCCGGTCTTCGTCGAGCTAGACACCCGCTACTCCAGCATTCGCCAGTTGCAGGCCGTCAACCAGTCCTGAGCGCTCGAACAGATTCCTCTCCTGTGCCAGAGCGTCCCGGCTTGCGTCACAGCCATGACGGTGGAGCACGCTTCTGACGAGGCTTCGGGAAAGCCAAATCTTAAGCCACGCTTGGTCAGCCTCGGAGAATCTATGCTATTTCGATGATTTGTTCATGTGTAGTAATGAGAGTGCGAGGAGCCCATGAATCGTATCGCCTACTTCTATGGTCATCTGGAGTGGAGTCGGTGCCCTAGATGACTTTGAGCAGCCTTGCTGCAATGTCACTGCACCACGACGGGTGCTTCTTGCAGCCGAGCCTTGGCTGCAGGTGCGAACCCGGAGTGGTATCAGCGGGTGGTGTCTCATCTCAGTCGTGTGGTTTCGGCGAAGTCGCAGCCTCGGAGCCTGCTGGGAGCCCCGGAGCCCCGCTTCTTTCAGACGAAGGCTGTCGCATGCCAGCTCCAGAGAGGCCATTTCTGTTACGGGGTTATCAGGCAAATCAGACTCCGGAGATGCAGCCTTTCTCGCAGGGTGCTCGCACGAGCTCCTCGGGGTTAGTCGTCAATGCGCCTTTCCAACCCACTCCGGCCAGGGTCTCGGAACAGGTCTCTGCAGGGGTCTCCATCACGTTCACGGGACTGTTCAGAGTCTTGCACTAGAAGAATCAAGGATCGGTGCAACTTCTGCAGCTTTTGCGCGCTGTTCAATCGCGAAGCTCAGGAACTTTTACACAAGATCATCGAGATGTTTGAGGCACGGGCAGCTGTATCTGGTTCAGCAGCACAGCTAATGAGCTGATGATTGTTTCATGTTTTGCAGCTCTATTGCTTCTGATGGAAGCCGTTCGGATGGCCACTGCTCGACCCAGATCGATGTCGTCCTGGTCCTGGACAGCGAAGCCCTTCACGCTGCCCTTTGCAGGATGCTGCTGCCCCAAGCATACCGAGGCATGCAGTTCCACCTGCTCATCCCTTCGAATAACTGAAGCATCAAGGGTGGGCCCAAGGTTTGCGGGCTGTCCAAAGATCAACGGCGTGCCCAAGGTTGAGGTGGTTCTGCTTCCAAAGGCCCAGGGCTGAGAAGGCTTAAAATGTCCGGCATCCTTCGCGAGTCGCGGCTAGGCTGGAGGGGTGGTGCAAGCCGCTTCGAAGCGGATCCGCTTCATGCGGGCTCTGAGAGTTCGGGACTACTTCCACGGCGTGCCTGGCTTATGTGTCACGCGCCTCGGTTGCATCTCAGGAGCCTTCCTTTCACGTTCCGAGGTGATGAGGGACTTTAGCCCCTTCTCTGTCCTGGTTGACCTCGGTGATGCACCCTGAGTCGAAGACGAAGATACCACCGGTCACCGGTCATGCACGACAAAGCCTCCGTTTACAGGTACAGCTCGTGCAGATCGAGACGGCGACACTTTCTGCCTCCATGCTTCCACTCGGCAAGGACCTCTGACAACGTTTAGACGGCCAGCTTGACATTCCGATCAGGCAGAGGGGACGGTTGAGCAAGCAACTTCGCTTTGAGAGTTTTCGAGATAGCAACATCCCATAATTCACCACAAGGAGAGGAGCAGTGTGAAGAGGGGTGAGGTGACATGTGTAAAGCACCAGGAGTCGCAGAAGTCCGTGGACTTCATTGTGAGTGCCCAAGTTCTCCGCCAGCCAGCGCCAAGTCGACATGTGCCGTGTTTCTGCTCGCGACAGCAGTATTGCACTGAAGGCTCACCAGCCATGCCGAAGCATGATGTCAAGAGCTGCAGCAGCCTGCGCACTGAAAACCCGCCACAGCACAGGAAGGCAGGAAGACCGAAGCCTTGGCTCGACTGACGATTCTTTGGCAAAGCCGAACCTGTGACGCCATGCCGCCGCGATACGATTTCCGCGAGCCGTACAACAAGAGAGATCCGACTCGCCAGTCGCTGCTAATCAAGGTCCTTAAGGGGATGCCACGGGTGAGTCGAGCGGTGAGTCAGGCTGAGTCCCTGTTACAGGAAACGGCCGGAAAAGAGCTGAAGCACATGTTCTCCTCTCGGCTTCTGGACCTCGGCTCCCAGGACCCAGAGCGGGCCGCAAGCTTGGGGCCGCTTCGGCTGTACGGTGCCCGCACAGGAGCCGAAAGAAGGGGCGCCGGCCCGGGCCTCCCGGGCCTCCCGGGCCTGGTGCCGGGGAGCTCCGGTTCGACTGCAGGGCATGGAGCACCGCAAGGAGCATCCGAAAGGATCCGAAAGGATGGAGGAAAAGTGATGTGCGCATACTTCCGCAGGACCTGAACGGCGCACTCGGCACCGTCGTGGCAGTAGGGTCCTTGGCGAACGCTTCTGTCCAGGTCTTTCTTCCCTGCAGCCCATGTCATTCGTTCCAAAAGTGTTCAATCCCTCCGGGACAAGGATCAACTAGTTCAGATAAGGATCAAACAGCCAAATAGGGATCAATAACAACTCAAATGCAAGTAGGTACGCGTATCACGAAAAGCAAAACTCCGACTTGCAGTAAATTGCACTATTTGCAGCCCGTGAACACTCGCCAACGGAAATCCCGCTCTCAAAGACGACGACGGCAACAACAACAACAACAACAACTGCTGCCGGTACCGCTACCGCTACCCCTACCGCTACTGCTACTGCTACTGCTACAACAACAACAATAACAACAGCTGATCCAGATGTTGCTTTTCTTATCGGAGTGTTTTCGATATTTTTCGATCCCGATTTTTAAAGCCATCCCTTGGCCTTGCTTCGCCAGCCCCATGCCGAAACCCGGACTTCCCGAAACTCAGCGCCGGCGGGGTTTGGCTTTACGGAGGTATGCCAAACGGGTGCTCTGGGATGTCGGTTGATGGTACTGTTGATGATATAAATCCTGCATTACCCATGATGGAGACTTCCGCACTCCAATGTCGCACGCTACGGCAGTCCAGCGGAGTTTTCTCAAGGACAAGCCTGACGAGTTCGGTCGCATCTACGTCGAGGTCAGTGGCAAGGACAGGCAGGAAACCAGAGCCAGAGTGCTGAAAGTACTCCCAGAGAGGCTTCAGCCAGAAGGCCGGGTGTGTAAAATGTGTGGATACTATGCAGAAAGCCGAAAGACAGAAACATATATCTAGTTGCAGCTGGATGTTGCAAGAACAGACAGCTACATCGATAGCAGTCTGGTTCTCTTTGAGGGGCGGGGCCGCGGTCGTAGGTCAGACGCCCGGGCATGACGGGCTGGACCCACTTGGCGCGAGCCCCTGGTCCTCTTCTGGCATTCGGACTGGCTTCCCAGGTCGGGGTAAAAAGCTCAGAGTCTTCGCTGCTCTCTGCTCGGCTTCCGCAGGCTTTGGCGTCCTGAATGTGAAGCAGTGGAAAACACAGCCGGAGCTGGCTGAGAAGTTACACCAGGTCTCTTTGGTGTCGCATCGATCCTTCGCGCGAACCGCCTCTCGGCTACAGCTTGCCTTGCCTTGGGCCTTGCAACTTCAGCTCCTTGGGCTGCAGAGCCTGTTCATCTCTAAGGTAAATGGAGGGTTTTTCCCAGAGCCTTCTGCTGAAAGTGTCTGAGTGGCTTTCACCACGCTGGGCCAGCGAAGCTTGCCCAAAATCCGTTTCTACCCTTGCCCACATGGGCCGAAACCTCCCGAAGTGGAGCAGAGCGGACGGAACGAGGAAGCTGGGCCGCATGAACGATACCACATTGAAACTTAGGTGACAGTCAGGTGAAACGCAACCCAGCAACCGGACGCTCAATCATAAGATTATCAAGATGACCGAGCTGCACTTGGCAAGGGGAGCAAGTGTTGTAGACTTCTTGGAGCTTCTCATTGGTTTGCAAGGTCGTGTCAGAAAGGACCGGCAATCATTTAGGCCAAGATGCGAGCAGAAGCTTTCAAGGGATTCGTCTCGTTCCGTGCGTTTATGGTCATTGTCGTCGCCAGAGACGCCGCGGGAGGAAAAGTGCAAGGAAGTGAGTTCCCCCCGCCCAATCCATGCAAAGACATGGCGTCAGGTCCGACCCTTCAGTGGGCAACCATCAGACCTGGAGCATGCGCTGCTGGCAGTGGTGCGCAGCCAGAAAGTCTTTCTGTCCTACTCCTTCTCTCTTGTTTCAGGTTCGCGCGAACAGCATGAACGAGGTGAGGATCAAGGTTGTTGAATTTTGCCTCCGCTGCTCGGATTCTGGTCAGGTGCTCTTCGCGCCCATGTGCGGCCTTGTTCTGGTGACGAAGGTGCCAGCTGAGTCAAGTCCCCCTCTCTCCATGTGCACTGCGACCAGAACTTGTGGGGAACAAGCACGCTGTTTGCGAGTGGATCGCCAATCAGGCCTCACAGGCGGGGCACCAAATGCGTTTTTGCCGTCGAGGTCGAAGATGCAGCGCTGCAGCTACTCTGTCCGGCCCCACCCCCTCTACCTGCGCAGTACCTCGTGGCAGGGCCCCCAGCAGTTTTCAGCTGTGCCGGGGCATTTTGCAGCTCGCGGGCAAGACCTCACTGCCGAGCGAAGCATTGCCAGCGTAAGATCGAATCCCCGCTCGGTAAGAAGTCTCAGGGCCAGCTCTAGATGGCTTCGCCCAAGAACATGGCTTGGAGCAGTTCTGGAAATGACACTACCCTACCCTGCCCTAGTCTGCAAGTGTTCATCATGCCAACCTCGAGTTCTGAAGCTTTCGGCATCCCTGACTCGGCTTAGCTTGCGATGTTTCAGATCAATTGCGGCTCATCAGGGCAGAAGTTGAAGGCATAGCAGGGAAAGAACCTAAAGGGCAAGAGCCGGCTCCGATCTTGCTCCCTTTGGGAGTGCTAGCCGCTTGTGCGACTAAGGTCGGGGATGTCAAGAAATTGAGGTTCCTCGACATCTGAGTGCGCAGCAGCTTATCCACATGCAAAACACGGGTCCGACAGAGGAGGGGCTGCTGTCAGGATGCTCTGTGTTTAGAGGATGCCGGATACGAGTCGAACTGAAACTCCACGCCGCAGCGTTTGCTCGGCCCCTTTGGCCAGTTGGCAGAGTCCCGGGTTGCCGCTGTGGCCGCAGGCCGCAGGCCAGCAGTGCTAGTGCCCTAAAGGGATGAGGAGCGTCAAAGCCGAAGGCCATGTGCGAAATGATGCTGCAGCCCTTCATGAAGCCCTTCCGGGTGTTCTCGGACCTTTTGAGTACTTCGGAGTTTGCGAGATCTCTGGAAGTTGTTTTGCTGGCGTGCGGAGCGGGATACGGGAGGATGTCTCTTTGGCCGACTTCAATGCCTTGCTCACGAAGGCGGAGGCCTGCAAGTGCCTCCTAGGTCTGCTTGCCTGTCCTCGGACAAGTTGGTGCTGCGCAGGGTCGTGACAAGCTGGCACGTACCTTCCAGTACTTCTCGCGAAGCATCGTCGGAAGCGCAGCCTACTTGCAGCCGACAGTGCTGACCCTACTCGATTCGGAAGGGTCGAAGAGTCTAGAAGTCTTGTGTACCTGGCATGCGCGATGCTGTGGAAGCATGGCATCCTCGTACGTGCTGTTAAGGCAGGGACGCTACTGGCCAAACTTGAGGGGAATGCAAGGACATGTGCAATGCCTCTGTAGTGGCGTCGGCCGACACCTTTTTGAGTCTCGGCGAACGTGCCTGCCGCAGGACAGTCATGGTCCAATTGGCAAGTGCACGGCGAACTCACCGATGGTGCAAGGCCTCCTTGGCGCTTGTGCACGTGTCGTCTCCTCGCCGAGACGCGTGCCGTCGCGTTTCTGCAGGAGTTTCCGGTGATACAGAGCCTGCCAGCGCGGGCGGCTCAGCGACAGCGCCGATTTGAGACAGCGACGGACAGCGGCGGCCTTTCCTTCTGTGGAGGTGTTTCAAGATAGATGATCCTGTCGACCGACTCTTTGAGCTACTGCAGAAGGCGAGTCAAAGCACCAGCCCAGGATTTTTTCGAGGTCGTTGCTGGTTTCTTCGGGCCAGGCATCCTTGGCTGCTTTTTTAATGATCGATCACATCGGCATGTGCCAACCTCAGGCTTATCTTGCTTCTGCGAGCAGAGACAAACATGCGCCGTGTGCGGACGACAGACTTCCTCCATTCCGGAGCTTGGCTTGAGGCTGAAGCAGTGGAAGATTCTGTCTGGTGGCAAAAGGCTGGGCGATGTAAGAAAAGCGAGAAGTGTTGCGCCACGGTGATCTCAGCCAGCAGAGCGAGAGCATGGAGCTAGCTGTATCAGCCCCAAGCAGACTATGGGGCCGAAACCGAACAGTAGTTGGACATCGGCAGCCTTTCTGCTTTGATGTCGAGTTGGCTGGTTCAAGATGCAGACAGCATCATGCAGCCTCGGCAGGGCCGGAACAGGAACGATTCAGCTGGGATTGAAGTGCGGCTCCGAGAGCCGATGCTGCATGACACTGTGTTTGAAAGCTTGCATCTTTCTGCTCGATCTGCTTGGCATGGACTGCCGGCAAAGGATCTTTACCTTCTGCAACATAGTTGGGGCCGGCCAGACACGCTTCAAACGACTGCAAAGCTTCATTCGACCTGTGGGGGATTCTTCGAGGTCCTCGGATTCAGGGGTAAGGGGCTTCTTTTCGCCGTGCCGTCCTCTTTCTGCTTTCGTAGTTTTTTTTCTTGTTGTTGTTGTTTTTCTTGTGGTTTATGGTCGCCGGAGTCGGGTCATCAAGTTTCTCTACGGCAGTCACACAGTAGTTTTAAGCACATATCAATCATATCAGACGACCAGACTCAACAATAGGAGGCGGCAAAAACAATCCAGGTCACTTTTTGTTGACTCAGAGCTCGCAGAGCACATATTGGAACTCGGTGCCTGGTTGTCCACTCACGACCAAGACAACAAAAACGAATCCGGGCTTTTGTAAATCGTTGTCTTGCATCTTCTTAGCGTGTTGGAGAGAAGCTCAGTATTTTGAGTTGGGTGCTTGCGTTTGGCAGTTTGGCGCAGCGTGGGGCATGCAGAGCGGCTGCCGTACTGTGGTTCGTGTTGAATTCAGGGGAATCTGAGGCCGCAGGGGTTACGGGGCTACTTTTGAATGGTACGCTAGTAACTAGTACTCGTATCTTACTTGTAGCTTGGGTGAAGGACATACGGAAATGTCAAACTTCAGGACCTGAGGCCATCAGCAAGACAGTTCTCACACATAGTCTAATTCGGTCCGGCTTCTTGTACCACCAAACATCAAGCAGCGCCCAGTCCACAATAGCTTTTCCGGGGAGCCAGCCTGGCAGCAGGGTTTGAGCCTTAGAGGGCACAATGTGTGTCACCTTTCCAAAGTGATGAGGCAACAAAAGACAGATCAAGTCCCGGGTTGTTGGCCGGACAAGCTTGGCCACACTTTGCTGCCACTGCAAATGCTCGAAGACAAATCGCCGCATCGCCGCTGTTTTACCGGGTTGAGGGATTTGTAGACACCGAGCAAGCATGGAGTCCTCCATTGAGCAAGGCGTTGAGTGCATCGCGGTGCGCGTCTTGACACCAACGCGACAAGAAGTTTCATTTCGTTGAACGCGAGCAAACCACACCATGTTTCAATGCAAGACTTCCACGATCCAGAGGTTCTGTATTCAATGCGTGAGGACGGATATCCGAGATAATCCCAAAGCCAACAATCACCGACCTTCTCCAAGCTTCCTTCGCGGGCTCTGTGTCCCACAGACTGTGTCCGACAAAGCTTATCCAAGCCCCCAAGCCTGAGACCCGGCTGCAGCGTCCACAGGTTACGAGGGTTGTTTGCAGGCCCGTTATCGACTTGCTGTAGCGTGCTTTCTCGCCTAAAGCTTGTAGGTGGTCGGTTCCTGACATGCATCGGTATGCGACGGGCCAATGCCATGTCGCCAGTTTCTCTACCAGCTGAAAAAGATCAAAGACATAGGTTTGGAGGTGCCGATGCCAGCAGAGAGAGGTTTATTCTTGGTTGCGGCTATGATGGGAAACACTCTGAACTCTGAACGCAAGGAAGAGAAGCGAGATCAGTTGGCAAAGTGCCCACTCCTGAGGAGAGTAGATGTTCTGTCCGAGAAGGTATGAGGTGGTGCAATATCCTTCAGCGTGCAAGCTTCCCGAACCTGGCGGGAGCCTTGCGATTGGTGAACCCGACTCTTTGCGCGCAGAGGCTGGGAGACAGCAGTGAAGCATGCCCTGATAACAGTCCAGACCGCTCACTTGCCTGGACCTCGGCAGCGCACGCAGAAAGATCACCAAAGCTGGTGCTGGAGGCCAACATGAATAGGCTGATCAGCAGGAAGTGGATTGTTCCACGTCTAGAGTCTTTAAAGTTTAAAGTCTAAGGGGGCATGAGCTATGTACACCCAAAACGGTCGGCAAAGGCTGCCAGACTGCCAGAATTGTTTCGCTGGGGGTTCGAACATGGAACCTCGAGGTCTCTGCTATACCCATCACACGACCTCATTGTGGGCGTGTGCGGCATATTTAGCAGCAGCCGATTCCTCGGAAGCTTTGTGAAACCCGTCATGTGTCTCGGAGGGTTTCATGCTTGACTTTCCTGCGATGGGCAGGCTTAGATGTTTGTGCGCAACTTCCTGCAAAGCCTGCAGTGAAGGCTGCAATCTGCATCGGGCACGTCTAGCCAACCAAGCCCTGCTGCTGGCCAGGCAAATGCAGACTCCAAGCCCTCAGGCAAATGATGCTCACAGTGCGACGTGAGCTCTTCGATTGAGGGCTGTCCAAAGCGCTGCTTTGCAATCGATTGGAGCCGCATCTGTTCAAACCAACGTGAGCGGATGTGTGTCCCCGAAAACTGCACTGGCAACATCCAGTGCAGTGACATTCAGAGGTGAGGACATTCGGGTGTTGTGAGAACCACCTGGTGTGATGGCGTGGTTCCACCCGTGCTTGCCCTACCAGGAAAATGTCCGCAACTTTGGATGTTTAGCACGGGTGCCTTGCAGGTTTGGGCCGCAAGAGCCAAAGCAGGGAAGACCTGCTCTCGTTTGTGTGTTGATACAGAGGACTGCCAGCATACGCTGGTGCTTTTGGAGTCTCACACTGCCGGCCCGAGTGGCAAGGAACGATATCCTAAGCCTCTGCTATCGAAGCGACGTGTTTCCTCTGCATCGGGCCGGCATCCTCTTTGTGAAGTGTTTGGTAGAAGGACGGTGGTGATAGTTGGGTGCACACCCCGCGTTTCGACACGAGGCCAAGCTAGGGATGTGCCCGATTCGCCCTGGCCCTTTTGAAGGGGCATTCAGTCCAAGAGTGACTTGGGGAGGCCTAGGAGAGTGTGCAAATAGTTCTTCATGAGCGATGACTTTCAGCACTATAGCCATTGTGGTGCAGAGGCGGCCGGGGACATGTGAGTCGAGGCTGCGGTTGTCGTGCGACTTCCTGCTGCTGGCTTCAGTTCCCCTCCACGCCACGGGAGACTCCCAGCCGCCTCGATCCCACCGTCTTGGTCGTCAGCCCGTTCCCTCGCCAGCCAAAGGTAAGACGTGTGGCCGAGTGCCTTTACAGCAGCAATATCGTAGCAACATAGTATGTCCTGCATGCCCGGCAATGAAACGCCATGGCGCCGATGAGCGATGACATCGCGCTCGGCGCTCACCGTTTCAGTTCCTCGAATCGAGTGCTCTGAGCGGGTCACCGTGCTGTCCTCAGATCACTTGCTTGATTCTGAATGCCTGGCACATGGACGCGTGTGAGAGACTTCTTGATGTGATGTTCAACCGTAGGACCTCAAGAAGCGACGCTTGTTTGCAAGACTTCGCGTTCACTAGGCAGACCCTGGCAGCTGCATGTTTGGATAACGGCATCGCAATTGCTCCTAAGGCGTCAGACAAGCTGCGCTGCGAGATCCTTGCAAGCACACAGTTGATGCTGAAGGCATCCCGAAGCCTTTTGGAGGCCTGAGCCCAGACTTCTCAGCCCAGGCACGGTTCGAGCGGGTGGAAGTCCATGCTTTCGGCTCGTCGGTGAACGGCTTTGGAGACGAGACTTCAGACATTGACCTTGTGCTGGATGTGCCGGAGGTTGGCTTGAGGGTTAAGGGAACGCTTGCTGTGGCGGTGCGATAGTATCGTCAGGAAATCCTTGAACAAATAGTTCCGTGGAGCTACTTGCGTGACCTGGTCCCTGCGACGCTGGACTATTTGTCTGACTACCTCGTGCAGGACATGCGGAGAAAGCTGTGCAAGTGTCGTGACATGCGGCAGAGCTTTTGCATGGAACTGTGAGGAGGGTTTCCAAGTGCGCGAGAAAGTTCTGTCCGCCAAGGCACAGTGCGCGCTCGGTTCTCTTCTGCAAAGGATTGTGGGAAAGCGCAGCTGAGGTTCCCATTCTAAAGCTCACCATAGATGGTGTCAGGTGCTTACCTCCGCTAGATTGGACTTTTGGTCGACTTTGAAAGCCGACGTGCTGGCGCTTCCCAGGTCGAGTGCGATCTCTCGTGCAATAACTTGCTTCCAGTCTTCAACACGAAGCTCTTGAGCCTCTATGCAGTGCCTTGTCATGGGTGCAGTTGCAAGCACCTACTTGTACGAACTGGTGCCGAAAGGGTCAAAGGTCTGCACAAGCCCCTTTTGGTCTTTGGCGACACTGAAGCCGAAGCAAGCAATACTGAGTCCCATGAGACGAGCAAGCAGGGAAAGGGATCGCAATCGAACTGGTTTCAGGTCGACACCTCGAGGACGTACAGGTTTGCAGTTGGTGTTGCAACTGAGGAGAAGGACCCTCGAGTTGTGGAGATGGCCAGACGGGTGAAGACCTGGGCCAAGAAGGAGGCCGGCAGTTTGCTCAACTTGTCAGAGCGTTCTAATCTGTCTACCTTGCAGGGCGTGCATGGTGCCACCAACGGGCATCTCTCTTCCTATACCTTCAATTTGATGGTGATCTTCTACATGCAGCAGCGTTCACTGCAATTGGTAAGCAGAACCAGAGGCGGTTCGTGAGGGTTTGTGAGCCGTGTAGCCAAGGCAGAAGGGTGGTCTGCCGTGCCTCCAGACGAATGCGGACAATCACCCACAGTGGTACGGCGAGCGCAGCGGGCGGAAAGCCGGGCCCGAAGCGTTCGGGATGCGTCAGAGCAGAGCCTCCCTGCCCAGGCCTGGAACGTCTTCATCGATGAAGCACCCAGGGCAGAGACCGAACTGCAGCAGCACCGGGATGCGGCGACTCTGAGCATCCCGGGCGGCAGTTTCTGAACGGATCCATGACATAGGTCATGATCCATCATGATACATCATGAGCCTGCGCAGGCTGTGACAGTTCAACCGGATAGCAAGCTAAGGACGCTTCGCTCAGTTCCTAACTGATGACAAGGAGAACTTCCGGCAAAATCAAGCTACAGACAGAGAGATAATTCCCCCGAGCTTCTGTGCAGGACTTCAGCTGGGGACGTGATGTAATCTCCATTCGGCAGGGCAAGGTGTTGCCCATTGACAGCATGTGCTTCAGGACGCTTGGCGATCAGATGCTTGTTCACTGTTTTCATAAGGCAGACGGCTAGGGATGGAAGACGTGGGACGCCCGATGACAGGTTGTACCTCGCCGGTAGAATCATGCTAGGGTACAAGCACGACTCGAGCACCGGCCCCGATTCGAGCACCCGCGATTCGAGCACGCGCGATCGAAGCACGAACGATTCAGGCGCGAGAGGCGGAGGCACCCGCGAATCAAGAACCAGCCGCACTTGACTGTAGGGGGTTGCGGGGTTTGGGGTTGGATTCTGGTTTTGTTTCATTTCTTATGTTTCTTGTTTGTGGTTTCGGGCTTAGGCTTTAGATGGCTTTGGCTAATTTACAGGTCTAGCACAGGTTTGGGATTTGGGGTTTGGAGTATCAACTGCCGGGAGAGCCGCGCGTTGTAGGGTCTCAGGCTCGCAGGGCTTAGGATTTTCAAAACTCCAAGGTTCAGATTCCAGTCTTTCTCGGGTGCGAACAGCCACGGAGAGCCGAGTCTTAAGGGTTTCGGGTTTAGTTTGTGTTGTTTCTTTTGTTTTTGCGACTTTGGGATTTTGGAGTTTAGGGTTATTTTGCGGTCACGTGGTTTTAAGGCTTGGGCATGTTGAGGCTTTATGGGACATCCGAGTCCCTGAGCCCAACCTGCGGGAATCTTGTTGCTGAATCCATGCTCGGGAATCCTATACGCGTTGAGTGAGCGACTCCGGAGCGACTCGGCCCTCCCGCGCACGACAGTGAATCGGCCGCTCTGCTCGAAACGCCCTGCCTTACGATCATGCTAGACCAAAAAGGCTCGAAGCAAAGTCCAAGGCTCTCGGGTTTTTCATTGCCAGTCCCATGCTGCCCTTAACCGAGAGAAGTCGCCCAGGGAGCTGAACAGAAGATTGCGAGACTGGGACGACAACCTCTTGCACATCGAGGTGCCCTCTCTTGTCCTTCCACCGGCAGCAAGGACAAGAGACAGAGCTGCGCAGAGCCGAGGACCCTTTCGACATCTCTCGGAACCTGTCCTGCGTGTTTTCTCCAGGATCCAACAGGACTCGACATGCCTTCAGTGCTGTTAACGGGGCATCCAAGTTGCCTGAAAATCTGGTGAGCAGATGCCTCCCAAGAAATGCAGATGTGACAACTTCTACACGCACCGAAAACCGCATGGGTTGCTGCATGGCGAGGAGGCTTTGGAATGCTGTGAGACGGCTGGCAAAAGAGCCCGGCGCTGCAACACTTGTGTCTTACCCGGCCGGCCACTTTCAATCTGAACCTTCGAGAGTGGCTGGAAACTCCATGGCGAGCCCCGGCCGAACGTGGGAGGTTTGCCCTTTATCATGATCTGGTGACACAGGCACCATACACGCGAATAGGCCTCCCGAAGTTTCTTGTAGATGATGGTAGCTGGATGTTTAGCACTAGCATGTAGAGGGCGCCAGTCATTCTGCCCGGTGGCTTTCGCGGCTCGCCTCTTCAACTTATTCGGGTTGCTTTGCCCTCCCGGTTTCCCGCTCCTAGAATGGAGTCTTGGTCTGAATATTCGTAACGGTTCCGTTTTGGGCCAACGCATAGCAATTTTCGTGTTGTTCGTCTAGGTCGTTGGCTCTTTTAGAATCGTAGAGTCTCTCGCAGAGTGTGGGTCCTTTAGTGGGAAGATGAGGTTCCGGGTTCGAGGAGGCTTTGCAACGCCATGCTTCGAAGGCTCTAGGCCATACCACGAAGGCTGCCGGAGCTGCAGGACAAGGCATAAGAGTCCCATGTCCGAAGCGGATCAGCTGCTCAGGTTCCAGGGCCCAACGAAAGCTGGACGCAGAGAGGATCCTGCCGAGACCGAGACATCGCCGTGTCCGGGCTTGAAGTAGCCAGCAGTTCATGCCTGGGAGATTGGCTTTAGGTTCAAAGGAACTGTTGTCAGCTTTTCGTTGGACGATGCTGCGGACACAGCAGCGGGAATAGGCATCAAGAAGATCGAGCGAGGAAACCATGCGGTGCTTGGAATCACAGGACCTGCAAGCCCTCCGACATGACTCCAAGTTGCATTCTACTGTAAAGCCTTCAATCGAGATAACCCAGACATGCCAGGAATCCAGGAAGTCAGCGTGCAAAGCCTCCTCGTAGATGAATGCATGTTCCAAGATGCCCTCGTGTGCTCTGTAAGAACATCAAGCCAACCCGGGGGCGACCAACCAATCGGTGCTTTTTTTGTTGTTGGTGCGACTGTGTCAGCGAGTGTTGTGATACGCATCAACGAGTGCCTCTTCCTCGTTGACGATTAGGAAAGCTTGCGCTTCAGATTTGCACGTTTTTAGGCTTCCCACCGTTTGGTATAATTTTGCTCTGCGAACAGTCCCAGCATCGATTATCCCGAGGCCAGCAAATTTCTTCCTCATGCGCAATCACACCGACGACCCGGCTTCAACAGCCAGGCTTGTTCTTGCATGAACCATGATCTTTCGAGCCGACGCCCTTTGCGCCTAGGGGATTTTAGGATGAGTCACACGACACTGCTTGCACAGGTCATGCTGCACACAGTGTTTGCACAGGTCAACACTGCACACAGGGTCACGTGTGTTGCACGCTCTCTGCCAGACGTTCTTACATGGTGAAAATTGAAGGACAAGGCTTGTATGGGTAGCAACGTAGCAACCGAGCTCTTGGGCATGGAGCCGGAGGGATATGACATGACCGTAAACTGCACGGATGACTGTATCAGAGAAGAAAATTGCACCATGGGTATGCCGCTCTGCCCCTCTCCGGCCTGGTGCCTGTGGTCTTGCTAGGGTTCTTGGTGCCGGCTTCTTTGTCTCCACCCCACAGGTGCCTTTGGTGGGTTCCTTAGCGCGTTCGACGTTCCTGTGCAAAAGAAGCGCCGGCTGTCATGGAGATCATTACATTGGTGCTTCGGCTCTGGTGCGAACCGCTGTCAAGAAATCCACGACTGCACCAACCCCGGCGACTATGGGAGTGTCTACAGCGTGACAATGATCCCAGCCTCCGCTGATACTTGTTACTGCACACATATATGGCTACGGAGAGGGTTGGACTGCAGCATTGTCTGTGCGTCCTTACATGACATGTACGTTTGAAGTTCACACGAAAAGCTTTCTGGAATCATTGTGGGACGGAGTCGGAGAGGAGGACGAGAACGGGGCTGTGTTTTCTGCACAGGCCTCTGGATGTTTGTCTGCTTCCCCATTTTATTTGCAGCACAATTCAAGATCATTGTGTGTGCGATCACGTGGTGTAGGTTTCGTTGTGGGCATCGCATCCTTCGATTCACAGAATTGTCTTCGAATGGATTGAAGAGAGGGTTGGACGGCACCATCCTTCATCCGGGTATTGCAAATGTCATTGAGACGGCTGTTTCTGGCCGAGTCAGCATGTCAGTCAGCCTGTAAGACGAGTCAGATTGCACGAGACCTCGTAGCAGCGCAAGAGCAAGTGCCAAAGGTACCCGGCGCCAAGCGGACCTGCCCAACCTGCTGCGTGCCTGGACTGCAATGATGGGCTTTCAGCTTCGGTAAGCGGGAGCTCGTTGTCTTCGCCTCAAAGCAAGCCCCGAAAAAGCAATCGAGCGTGCTTCTGGGTTCCAGACAGGCGATACTTTTTTCCGTCAGCTGTTAGATGTTGGCTTCCAGACGATTATGTAAGGATTGTCGAGCATAGCAATTTTCGTGTTGCACGTCTAGGTCCAACCCAGGTATAGCTAGCGCTCGTTGGGTGCTGCAGCATGCCTTCCAGGTTCGCACCCGAGAATGTGAATCCAGGCGGCTTGGGCTGCAGAAAGGCCGATACAAAGTACGGCCACCTTTGCTGCGCCTTTCGTTGAGGCACCTTCTCAAGTGCGTTGATGTGGTTGGATGAGGCCAACTGCGACAAGAGTGTTATAGTGTGCGTCGGGTTCAGGGCACGGTCCTTCCGAAGTGCCTGCAAGCTTTGTCACTGCCAGGGCCTGAGACAAAAGGAGGAGGAAGAGGCCCCGCTCAAGAAACAATCGCGGACCTCACGCATCAGTTGCTGGCATATCGCCTGATAACGGAGACTAGGCAAATCGGACAATTCTGCGAATCAAAGTTTATGTTTACTGTAGGGTCTGATTTCATGTCGGCCACCATTTAGCCCTCCTGCTCACGATCCGCGTTGTAATGCTTGGCAGTGTGAACAACGCGTACTTCCGTTCCGCAGGATGACGGTAATCACATTCTGGCGCCTGACTTTCGCTGTCATCTAGCAGCACAGGTTTACAAAGTTGGAAGCCGCCCCCTTGAATTCAGAATCCAAAGTCCGCCGACTGATTTCCCTAGGCAGGAAGCCACCGTGCTTCAACTCGCCGAACCTGGAATGGGTTCAGGAATTAGAGCTGGAGGGTGAAGTTTCAGGGCAATTTTAGGGAGGGTGACGTGTGAATGTGGATCCTGCGTCTAAGAACCGGTCGTGCGTAGATGTCCTGGGCAAAAGCACTCCAACGACACATTGACACACTTAACTTATGTAGGCCCCTTTACGGACCATGTGCAGGCGCACGTGCCAAATCCAACATTTTGCACTGGTGTTAAGTCGACATCAATCAACCACGCTGGGAGAAATCTCATCCAAACGCAGATTCCATTGGTGAAATGTGCACCGAGGTCGTCATATCCCTTGCTGTTGACACCTGACAGAACTTGGCAGGGGACAGGCGAGCGACCTGTGGCGGTCGACAGGCGGCGGTTGCGGGTCAGTTCGCACTTCTGTGTTGCTGAAATGGGCCGACAGCCGACTCCTTGTCGCAGGCAGTCAGAAGTCAGGGAGCCTGGCGAAAGTCAAAAAGTGGTCCACTGCTCCACTAGCCAAAGGCCGCATATTTTGGAAGTGCCGTCTCCAAGGGTTTCATGTTGTGTGCGCACGGCTCGCAGCGGGCATGGGGCCACACTCAGCCAAACAAACAGACAGACAGCTGATCGTGGGATGAACGGTGTGCCCGCAAAGAGTACTTTCAACAGACCTGAACCGGGTCGAAGAAGCCGGTCCTGTTGCCTTTTGAGCGCGGCCGTGTGAAAGCTGCGTTAGGCTTGCACATCAGCTGCATTGAATGCAGTTTTCTATTCTTGCTCTGTCTGTGTGCTTCTGGAAGCGTCTCGCAGGTTCTAGAGATGCCTACATTGGCATTGTTTGCTCTTGCTCAGCATTGTGATGACCTGCCAAACCAAGTCCATGGCTCGCCCACTACTGCCGATCCTGCGCCGGGGCGCCCCGGCAGCGCCTCGGCTAAGGGCACTGCTTTTCGGTAGAAGTCCGTGCGTTGGAAGCATGGTTTCCAGCAGCCAAGGAGCGTGTTCTTTCCAGGGAGACCGCCGCTCAACCTGAGGCGAGCGCCTGCGTTTTGAAGGGCATTTTCAGAAGAAAACCACCCACGTGGGCCAGTCCTGCACCTCTCCAACCAAGCTTCTGGAAGAGCTGCTCGCAGGCAGTGGCGGCAGTCGCTGGAGGCCGGTGCTTCTGTGAGCAGAGGCTGTGCATCTTCCGGAGTAGCAGGTGCACCTAGCGGCCTCACGCTGTTCGTGGCCTAGTCTGGCATTTCAAAAGCTTCAGGGTTCCGTGGCCTTCGTGACCAAGGCCACTGCGAAAGAGATCGGTGAATTTTACAGAGAGTGCGTCGGGGGCCCAGGTTTCGAAGCTTTCTGAAGCAACGTCTTGAGCTTCCCAGGCCCATTGCGGCTCCTGCCTGTAGCCCGCGAGGTGCCATTTTTTTTCTTCTGGCGTTCGTTCTTTGCTATATTCTGCTACCGGCTGTGCTCTTCCAGGAAGACTGATTCAGGGCTTGGGCTGCACACGCACCAGCGGTTCTGTTAAGGATCAAAGAGCTGGTTGTCTGCACCATGTCTGTTGACAAGCCGTGACAGTCGTGGGTAGCAGTTCCGCTGCCGAGTCTCGAAGCTCTCAGCCGGGCAGCCAAGTGCAAATCAGGCCTTCAGTTTGCACGTGCGAAGAGCCTGACCGGCACCAGATTTCCGAGGCCTTTCATTGCGCTGACCATTGCACCCTCGCCCACGGACTCTGCATCCAAGCCTTAGTCCTGAGTTGGCAGACATGTGGTTTTCAGCGAGTAGTTCCTGCCTGGGCTGCACCGTGCTAAAGCTGCTAAGACCTTGCACCACAACTGCCGCTTCCATCCTGGAGACGCCAACAGCGTGCGAATCTGAGTCTTGGACTCCTCTGCAGCCCAGTTCCGAGCCATCGCCTTTCCGAGACCGTATGTGGCACTTTCAGTCGAACCTTCTCCGACAGCGCCGGGGACCTGGCCTGGTGTCTTCGATCGGCCTTAGGCACCGATTTACGAGGTTTGAGAGTCCTGAGTCCAACTGGCCGGAGGCCGGGTCACATCCCGGCACCATGACTCGCCATATGTCGGCACAGAGCCCGCAGGAGATCGCTTCTGGATTCTGGAAGAGTCCGTCCTACGTCGCCATCCAGGCACCGATTGCACTTACTCGCATTGCCTTGGCTGCTCGCTGATATCAGGTTGGTGGCAGCCCCAGATGTGCTCCGGAGGGCTTGCAAGAGTACCGCAGTGCCCGCGCCTTTGCCAGTCTTTGTGCATGTATCTGCGTAATGGAGGTTTCGTAGAACGGGTGCATCTACGGGATTCGCGTGTTGCCCGCGCTCGCGCTCGCAGAAACGCCTAACTTGTTGTGGATTTGGTCAGGGTTCGAGGATGTTGGGCTTTCATGTTTAGGGTTTGGGATCTGGTCCACCAAGTGACTGCTGATGGCACCTCAGTGGCCCAAGTAACTTCAATTTGCAGATGGCAGTCATTGCTTCACAACCCACGTGGCAGAAATCAGTTCGCCATCCCGGAGCGAGCGGGCTGTAAGGATTCAGGGTGTAGGGATTTAACGTTTAGGGTTTAGTAAGGGTTTGGGGCGTTATATATGTGGAAGCTTAGCAGGGCATGCTTGACTACACCAGGCCAGATCCTGTGGTTTGCCTCACACCTCAGATGGTTTGGGGCCGCTAGTATTGTGGTGTACCATCTCTGCAAGCTTTTTCAGAGGTTTAAGGCCAAAGGTTTGTACTTAGCACTGTTGTCTTTAGCGTAGAGGATTTGCGACTTCCCAGTTTTGCTGCCAGTGAGAGTTTGCACTGCAACCCCCGCCACCCGTTCGCGCCGAGTCTTTAACCTGCTAGGTTTCGGGTTTAACATCTCGCGCCCCCCAGCCACCGCCGCTTGAGGTGTTGTTCTTGCCGTTTCCACTCTGTGAAAGTACATTTGCTATATGCAATATGCAATATGCGACTTTATTGCACTTCGCGGCCATTTTGGCTTAAGTGTCTGTTTGCTGTTGTGTTCTGTTTCCGCTGATGGCCTGTAGTGTTGGGGATTGTTGTCGATCATGTCGTTTATTCTTCTGACACGTCCGGTGCGTCGCACGCGCTCAGTTGCACAGGCTGACACGGACACTTTGGGTGCTGTCCCGGAGGCTATGCCTCGCGGTGAGCTTCAGCGTCTTTACTGGGCTGCAGCTGACATTCTGGAAGCTGATGCTCATTTTGAGACAAGCGGCAGTATGGATCCAGACTGGCAAGACCCTGACTTAGGTGTCCATGCCAATGTGGTTCCCACCGGTGACCTTCTTGGCTTCGGGCTGCTGGTTTTCCCGGCTCCTCTTGTGACCTAGGGTGGCTGGTGACACTTCGTCTGCTATACCTGCTGACTCGGCTGCCAGCACTGACGCCACTGAGGTCATTGACTTGACCTTTATTTGAAAGCTCGTCTGTGCCTGCTTTGTGCTTCATTTGAGGTGACTGTGGCTGACACCATGGCGGGTGGCCCTGAAGTTTCTGATGCTGGTCTGCCACCTCTGCCAGCTCCTGTTGCAGGGCCTGACCCAGGACTTTCTGTTCTGCCGCCTTCGGCGTTGAGAGTCTTGATGGAGTTGTTCATCCAGGTCAACCGGCGGCGGCGGCTCTCAATCTCCTGATCTGAGCTCTGGGCCTGCCTTGGTACGGGGGCACCGTTGCCAAGCAACACGGCACTTGTTGATCCTGCCCCTGTTGCTGCCGGTTCTGGGGCTCCTGCTGTGCCTGTTGTTCCTGCCGTGCATCAGGTGTGGCAGGTCTGCAGCATCGAGCTTCGAGGCACTGCCGAGTGGCCCATTTTGAATGCCACTGAATTTCTGTGTGGCATGCCTCTTCCTGGGCACTTGCAGCCGCTGAGGTATCCGCTTCAGAGGTTGCCTCGTGTTTACGTGACCCTTATACTGTTGTACCGGGTGCCGCGCCAATTGCAGCTTTTTGCGCAGTCGCGCTGTCAGTGTCACCTCTCGCCGCGGGCGCTCCGGACACTACTGTGCTTGCGTGCTTGCGTGAGTAAGGTGCCGTGGCATTTTCTGATCTTCCTGGCGATCTCTGGCATCCTGGCTTTGTTCAACAATTAGAGCTTGCGCTCGTCGCTTTTGGCTGCTACCTGTGCTTTGTGCACTTGCTGCCTTTTCTTTCCTGCCGCAGCTGTTCTGCTCACTGGGGGTGGGCCCCACTTGCTGCTGGCAGGTCTTTGCGCGCTGCTTGTGCGGCTTGCTCCCATTGGCTTGTGCCGTCAGCTGACATCATCCTGGGACGGACTGGCTTGTGCCGTCCTCGGGCTCTGCGGTGGTGCCTGTGTCTTGCTTCGCCCGGGGTGGAAACATGCACTCTGAGCAGGACTTGGTCTTGACTTTGTGGTGGTCGCTGCCAGGCATGCATGCGTTTTGCCCTGGTTTGCTGTGATCACACTTTCGGCAGGCCTCGTCTGGCTACTTTGTGGTGCCTGCCGGCCCGGGCTTGTGCGCTTTGGCTGCATTTCAATGGGCGCGCCTGTCAGGTGGGTCTTTGCTCCTGCCTCAACTGTCTGATCTGTCTGGCTGACGCCTTGGTATGTGCATAACGTGGGTCTTCGGCATGACCTTGAGGCCTGTCCTCACCTTGGGTCCCTGAGGTGCGGGCATTTGCATTTTGCACCCAGTTGTTTTTTTCCTGCCCTGGGCTGGCTTGTGCCTGACCTGCTGTCTCCTGGCGCTATGGCCAGCATAGCTGACAGCGAAGTCATGTTCGTCTCCAGGGCGAAGCAGTATGTACTCGCGCAGGAGATGGTTGATAGTTTGGCGGCAACCGGGATAAAGACTTATTCAGGACTGCTTTTTGCTGTCGCCAGCGCGCCTGGAGCTGTGGATGAGGGCCGTCTCAAAGCTGCGCAGTCCAAGCACTCATGCACCATGCCGTCTGAGGGCACTCTGTCTGCATTTTCAAGGTTGCCCTTTGAAGCTGGCACTATTGTGATTGCTGAGTTGCGCAGCTCTGTTGCTGGCGAGGACGATGGCTCTAGGTGTAAATTCACCCACCAGGAGAGATCGAGCCGCATGGCGGCCATGCGTGCCAAGCTGGGTGCCTGGCCAAGCTCAGATCAAGGTCGATGTGAGTAATGAACTCAGGCTTTTCCAGGCCTTCTGTCGCCGTAGCATGGCGCTGGAAGTAGCGAACACATACGTTCGCGGGTTTTTGAGCATCTTCATCGCATGGCACCGCCAGGGTACATGGCTCCAGGACCGTGCTGTATGGCAGCAGGTTGTTGCTCAGGTGCCCTGAATTCCTGCTGTTGACGCTGCCTCTGCCGTTGACGCTGCCCTGTCTGCTGCTGCGAACTCTCCGGGCGTTGCTTCCTCGTGAAAAGAAGCGTGCTCTGGATGAGCCTGGCATGCAGCCGCCCAAGTTTCCACGTAGGGCTTTGAGGCACCGCTGGCTTCGTCTGCCGCATCTGTTGCACCCGGAACAGTGCAGTTGCCGGCGGTCTTTTGCAGTGAGGTCTTTCTGCCTTTCTGTGAGCGGCTTGAGCTGACCCCACGTATTTGAGAAAGAGTGCACGCTTCTGCACACATGCCGACATGTTCAGTAGAGCGAGCTGCAATAATGGGTTTGCCGATTTTGCATTTTAATGCTGGCATGTGCTGGACACTCCCCCCTTCAGGCTTGCGCTTTTGCATATCCCAATTCACTGTAGGTTCAGGGCGTTCCTCTACACTCTTTTTTTCTTTAGGGCTTGCCACTGTGCACTGCGGGGTTGCTGTAGTTTGCATGTGCATTGTGGTTGGTGGGAAAAGTCCTTTCGTCTTAAGGTTCAGGGTTTGTCTCGCTGCTCTCTGGGTTTCGGGAAGTTTCGGGTGTTTAGGGTTCACGACCAGGGTTTGTCACAATTAGCTCCAAGATTCGGCTGAGGTTTGCCATGCCCGCCCTTTCGATTTCGGCGTCTCGGATTTGCTAGGCTGTGAGCCCAACAGGCAAATGAAAGCACTCCAAACTTTGCAAGGAAGTGGACGAACGCTTGCAAGTTGTAAATGCAAGAGATGCTTGGTGGTGAGATGGTTGCCTGTCTTGGCAGTGCACAAACCAGGCTGTCCCAGTAACTTTTTCTACAAAAGACTTCCCACCACATACTCCCATACGCGAGGGGTGCGTGAAGGGGCTCGGCGACCAAAGACAGACAACCAAGACCTTGTGAGCTTTTTCGATAGCAAGCACAGCTCGCTCAGTCGGGACCGGGTCGGTATGCTCGCAGATGTATGCCCGCGCCCTCCCTCACACATAACTTCAATACAATCTCGTAGAAATTCAACTAGCAGTAACTAGCATGCACTTGCATATGTTCATACGCGAATGTCTTTGTGCACATAAACACCGGCAGACATACTCACTATTTGGTGACTTATAGAATAAGTAAGCAATCAAGCAAGGAGCGTCAAGCAAGCGAGGACGAGCAAGCGAGGACAAGCAAGCGAGGACAAGCAAGCAAGCAAGCAAGCAAGCAAGCATGCATGCATGCATGCATGCATGCATGCATGCAAGCCAGTTTGCATGCACGCAAGCTTGCCAGCTTGCATGCACGCAAGCTTGCCAGCTTGCCAGCACGCAGGCAGGCAAGCATTCAAACACGCAAGCACGCAAGCGTTCAAACACGCAAGCAAGCAAACAAGCAAGCAAGCAAACAAGCACGTACGCACGCAAGCAAACACGCAAACCTGCACGCAAGCAAGCAAGCACGCAAGCAAGCAAGCACGCACGCACGCACGCACGCACGCACGCAAGCAAGCAAGCAAGCAAGCAGGCAAACAAGGAAGGCCAGCAGCCAGCAAGCCAGCAAGCCAGCAAACCAGCAAGCCCGCAAGCCAGCAAGCCAGCAAGCCAGCAAGCCAGCAAACCAGCAAGCATGCAAGCCAGCCAGCCAGCCAGCCAGCCAGCGAGCCAGCGAGCCAGCCAGCCAGCAAGCCAGCAAGCAGCCAGCCAGATTCAGAGCCAGAGCCAGAGCCAGAGCCAGAGCCAGAGCCAGAGCCAGAACAGCCACAACAGCCACAACAGCCACAACAGCCACAACAACCACAACAACCACAACAACCTCAACCCCAGCCACAGCTCCAGCCGCAACCGCAACCGTAACCACAACCGCGACCACTACCACAGCGACAGCGACAATCACAGCCACAACGACAATGACTGCAGCAGCAACAGCAGCAGATGTAGGCGCACGCTTGCGCAACGGATCTTACTGATGCGCCGCCGTAAGCTGTTCTCTGGACCTTCACATAATCAGTGAGACGGAAGCCTAAGCGCTTGTTGAAAGTCAAGTGCCGGACCCTGTTGTGGATGTCAACCAGAATTCCTTGTGCTGGGAGAGGCAGCTCGCACGAAAATTTCGCCGACCGGTTCACTTGATGCCCTGTCTAGTTCTCCTGCTGCAAGAATCGAAGCTCAACCTGCCACAACTGCTAGGAAGGTGTCGGCTTCGGCACGGACGTATCCAGCCGCGGTGCCATGCTCAGTCTCAGCATCTTAGGGTCAGGGCGGGGAGGTACGTAGAATCGTCTTGAACCGCACCTCGGCGATCGGGCGTTTTGAGGTCATTGCTTCAAGGATCACCGAATCATAGACATGACGAGACGGCGAAGAAGAAGCATGAAGTGAAGTGCGTTGCAAAGATGTTGCAAGACATGCATCCTGTTACAGAAGCCGTTGGCAGAAGGATCAAGCGGTTGAGGACTTCGATATCACTGTCCCCTTGTAGGCAAACCTATAATACCTCTTCATGTGTATCCCCTTCTCGTGTCCCTTGTGGTACTACTTACACTACCCCTTATAGTAGGCAGATAGTACCCCACCTTTTACAGTACCCCCGTATCAAAGTACAACAATGTTGTAGTACCCGGTTTGGTATCTCGCATAGTACTCCCTCATCGTACCTTGATGGTAGCCCTCATGGTACCAGTACCTCCTAAAGTAAACCTTTTGGTACGCCTCAGAATACCCCCGTATGGTTGTCTTGTGGTACCCCATACAGCCATACAGCACCCCTTCTACCAGTAGTACCCAGTCTAAATACCGAGTACCCCTTCTAGTAACATAGTATGCCTTCTACCCTACGTCTTACCTTCTAGTAGCCCTTACAATACCCGTTATGGCACCCCTTATGGTGCACTTTGTTTTGCCCTGTATAGTACCACACTCTTGTACTACCCCTTCTAGTAACCCTTGTAGTACCCCTTGTAGTGACTCTTAGAAACATATCAGAGCTCCCTGGTTTTCAGGAAGCTTCGTCGAAAGGCCCAGCTTCGACCTGGTGCCGCATCCATATTCAGACATGGCAGAGTCTCGCTTTTTGTTCGTGGCACTAGAATTGGTGTTAGTTTCCGCCTCAGCATTAGCAGTCGTAATTATTGGTAGTCGTACTAGTACTTGTACTAGTACCAGTGCTAGTATCAGTCCATGTATTATTCCATCAGTTGTGCAAGCATTGCTGGGACTGCCCGGGCAGGCCATCGGTACCTACCGTAGATGCTGCAGACCTCGTCAGCTGAAAGGCGCACTTTCCGAACTCTCACCGGTCCCTCCAGGTGATCGGCGTCGCAATCATGGTTAATGCAATCGTTTTGGGACTGGAGATCGACCTTTCGGAGCAACACGGCTGCAGCCACCGAAGGTGTCAAGATGTCTAATTGCAACCTTTCGGTCATCTTTCCCGGAGTGTGCCCGAGGATCTTCAAGAATTCTCTGTTTCGTACTGGTTGCGCTTTTTTGAACTCCGACTCTAGGAGAACAGACCCTATGGTTTGGATCGTGGCGGAGTGCCTCAGCTGCATTCGGCACGCAGCAGCTTCAAACAACTTTGAGTGTTTCGAAGTCTGCCACTAACCCAGTGCAAAGATGTGCAAAGTAGCATGACTTCTGTGAATGTTTGTGGGTAGGTAGGTCCACGGATGCCTGAATGTGAGGAACATTTTCTGCTCTATTTGGATATCGGAGACCTTGATAAAGTGGTGGTATTTACGACTGTCTTATTTCTGCGATGCGTGGAACTGGCTCGCACCATGGCCGCACCGACCGAGAGCTTCACTCAGGATTTCTTCCTCGGTAGTCTGATGAAAGTTCGAAAGCTCTCAGAGAAGCTTCGACTAAGGATCTTGGCTTGGTAATGCTTTCTATTTACGATGCTTGGATTGCCCCGCTCGCCTTGTCAAGTGACTCGACCAAGCCTCAAGACCAGGACGTTCATGGCCAAAAGCAACTCTCATCTCGTTTGTTAAGGTGAGACGCGGATGGATCTCGGATTTCTGCGTGTCGTCCGGGTCATGCGCCTTCTTCGTTTAGTGCGCCTTTGCAAGAGGTTGGCTGGTTTGCCTGCCAGAACGTTTTAGTCAAGTTATGCAATATTTGGGGCAGATATCACTGAAGCACCCCCGTGAGCAAAAAGTCTTGGCATCCTCGGTGAGTGTCGAAATTTGTCTTGCAGTATTCGCCTCAGAGCCCTGAGTCCATCTTTGAGCGGAGCCAAGGAAACTCATCCGAGCAGCCAGGTTGCAAGTGGTTAGATCCGTCACGATCCATCGAAGAAGGCGTATCGACCGGCACGCCACGAGCGCAGCGAGGGTTTGCGGTGCTTGACGAATCTGGCAAATCAGTCTGCGCTAGTCACGCTAGTCTTCAATGGAATCCTGCCCTCAAGGTGATCAAGATGTCGCGAAATCTTTGGCTTCTAGTGCAGGGCTTCACCGACACCTGGCAAGCTTTCAGGGGATACTGGCATGAGACGGCAATCTGATTTGCACAGCACAGAGATTCAAGGTCATGTGTTTCTTGATTGCTTGCTTGTCACAGTCGGCTCCGGCCATGCCAGGAATCCTTCAGCACGCTTAGCTGGGTTTCATTTCTCATCTTCTTTGTGATATATGCTGCTTGGCTATGACAAGTCGGCAGAATACGGGCATGCAGCGGTCAACTGACGGCCAGGACTGTCGCTTTTCAGTTTGATGCACCGGTTAGTCTCAGTGCAGTTTGTCATTTCCTTCCCCGCAGATTTTCAAACGAGTTGAATGCCGTCAAGTCTCTCAGGGGGATGGAGCATCATTTCTGCGGTGGCAGGGAGCATGGCGACAGGGGC